CGCATTGCGCGTGGCCGGGCGGCGGCGACAGGGGTCCGCCTGGGCCCGTAAGTCCGGCAACCTGGGCTGGAAACGGCCCACGGGCCGTAGGTTGCTGACCCCTGCTTTATTTCATAAGGCATTCTGTTAATTTTACCGCAAGATTAGGTAAAATCAGAAGATCTTTGTACTATGAAAACCGCTACTGTGCAAAATAGAAGTGCAATATGTGTCTTGAATATGTACAATAGCCAAATTATTAGGTAGACACTCAGTTTATAAGACCTGTAATTACTTTTGGTTTAAAAAGGTGGCATCTGCATTATTCATTCTCTTCATGTGGAATTTAAATATCTTGATATCTTGATAGAACAAGTGGATATTAGTAAAGAAGAAGCCAGTCTGGTGTAGTGGTTTGAGCACTGGACTATTGGCTGAGGCAGATGGCCCGTTTGGGGCTGCAGAGAGCCACCCCAGGGAGCGGCGGATCGGGGGCCCGGCAACCCCATGCCACAGCCACGATCCTTCCTTTTGCCACCTCTAAAAGAGCGGCAAAATGCCACTCCTTTTATAGGCAACAAAAGGCTGCCCTAAGAGCCGGTGCTGCGGTTCTTCCATGCCCTTTCGCGGAAGTGCGTCCTGAAGCTATGCACCGTTCATAAGGATGCGCAGCATCAGGATGGCGTTGGGGTGGGATTGGGGGCTGGTGTGCGGCTACCCGCCCCAACTCTACTCCTAGACTGCCCTCCTAGACCACCCTATGACTGTGGAGACCAGGGTTCCCAGCTCAGCCATGAAAACCCACTGGGTGACTATGAGGAAGTCACATTCTCTCAGCCTCAGAGGAAGGCAAGAGTAACACTCTCTGAACAAACTTGCCACCATGTCAGAAATGACTTGAAGGCAAACAACAACAACAACAACAATGAAAATGGCTAATATGATGATATAAGGAGGAAAATTAATTTCATTTAGGGAGAATACAAAATCAAAAACTAATTTTATATCCATTAAACTCAAATACTGCATTCAAAAGATTCTTTGCAACCATTAATCCATATCCCCATAACAACACATATTTACTTACCAAATGAATAAACTTTAGATAAAATTATTTCTAATACATCATTAAAACAGCAAATAAAATATTGTTAATTGTGAACTTACCTCTCCCATGACTGCAATAGGTGTCTCTCCTGTAGCTTGAGCAACACGATGTTCAACTAAGTAAAACATGTATTCATCATACAACAGACGAATCAGATGAAAAGAACCAAAGCTAGCAGCACTGCGCAAGGTTAAATCTCGAATAACCATTGAACTGTACAAAAATGAAAGGACAAACAGGAAATAATATAACCATTCAAATTCAGAAACCTCAGAATCAGATGCATCTACGTCCTGGTTTAAATGAATGGGAGCTTCATGTTATTGCCAAAATAGAAGCTCTGATCAACTCAAGACTATCTTAAATGGCAGTTTAATGCTGGCACTTTCCAACAAACAATACTGAAAGAGCAACGAATGCTGGTATCCCCCTAGCCCTTTCTGTGCCTCCCCAATTTTTTTTTTTAAATTGATATCATGATTTGCTGCCAAAATTCTGGGACACATAGTTAAATGCATTGTGGTCAATGGAAAAAATAATTTAATACAGTATAGTCAATGGGATAATCAGTGCAGTCAAATTTGTTCTTTTTAGTTCAATATCAGCAGTCAGTACCTTATTAATTAAAGTCAATTAAATGCATTTAAGGTTCATTTATATATAACTTGATAATTAATAACAAATAATAATAATAATAATAATAATAATAATAA